TTACATGATTAATTTGAGAGAAATAAGGGTGGAAAATAAAACACTGTGGAAAGTAGGTGATTTGTTTTTATTTCGTGAATAAGTAATATGATTTTTCATAAGGTTGGCACTTGGCAGCTGGCAACCCAACTTCTCATAGAACATGGATAGTGGAGAATATTAAATTCTAGAAATATGTTTTTTACCAAGAAATATTCTCTATAATTAAACCTTCTAAATCTAAAATAAAGGCGTAGATGTCATTAATTATTTTTAGAATTATAATTAAATGAAATATTAAGGAGACAAGATTGAGAATAAATTTCTTAAAAAGTATACTTCTTAGGAAGTAGCTTCAAAAAAATTATAACTAGTTGAATCAATCGATCCCTTAATATATTATTATAAGTACGGTCATAATTGTTTAATATTACATGTATATAGGAGAGAGATACGTTGGCAAAAAATATATATAGCGAGACAAAAAGAGTAATCTTATTCATCATTAAAAAAAAAAAGAAATATGATCTTTCATAAATTCAAATAATCATTTTTTACATAATAACAAGTTAAAAATATAATTTCAAATTTTAATTTGGATTAAAGAATTGAAATCGTTAGAAAAAATTTATGACAATAATAAAATCAAATATCACTTGAGAAATATAAAGAAAGAAGTATGAACATCAGGTTTGGTTGGACTGGCATGGCATTGATCCAATATCACGCCCCGAGCAACTCAAACGGCTAAGGGGCTAACTCCGATTATTCAATAATTAAACATTCCTTGTTAAAAAAAAAAAAGGTATAATTAAACATTTCCAACCTCAATAACCGGCCCAATATAATTGACTTATATTGTGGGCCTCGGCCCAATTGAGTATGTGTCCGCCTTCCTTGCAAGATTTAGTCCTCAAACGTTGATTTCCTCTTCTTCTTCTTCTTTCCTTTTTAAAAATACAGGCTGATAAAATGCAACAGGAGGCTATAATTCATGAAGGCATTGGATTTTTTTAAAAATAATTTTTCTCTTTACTCTTGTCCATTTCTATTTGAAGAACTGATGTTTTAATTTTATGTAATGTTAATTTGCAGGGTTGCAATACCTTCCCCAGCACATTTAAATAAACAAAAAAAAAATTATGCAACACATACAATACATTTAAACCAGTAAAAATAACTAATGTTTCCCTTGTAAGACATATCATGGTTTCCAAAAGCCTGAAAAATAAGCATGCATAAGATAGCTTTGTCCCACAAGTATGTTAAGAAAAATAGGCATTAAGTAGCTGTCATCTACCTAATCTAAATTTCTAGAATAATTTCCTCCTTCTCCCTTGAGTCACTTTCATTTTGAATAATCAAGGGTTTGCAAAATTATCTATCCCATCTCCTTCCTGATTGAAGGCTGCTTCACAACCTGGGCATTGAAACAAAACTCAGCTGTAATATGTTGGCATTCATTATTGACAATTCAAAGAAACATAATTAATTAATTAAAGATTTATTTATTTGCTTCTTTATCTTCATATCCTCGCGTATTCAGGATCATGATGAAATTATTGTGTAAATTAATAGAATAGTCTAGTTCTGCGTCGTCTCATAAGATATCATTCTCTTTCAATGAGGGCATATTCCAACTCAAACGCTAGTTGTTACACATTTTCATGAGGATAGGTTTGGTCAATAATAGTAATAATCAATTATTGTTTGATCAAACATCATATCAATATTTCATTATCCTGGGTCTTGACCTTTTTGAGGTGGGACTTTTCAAACTGAAGAATTATTCCCAGGTTGATATCTTCTTTCCTCAGTTTATTTAATTTTGCAAAATCAATTTGAAAGGTTTAATTTTTTTTTTCATATAAGATTTAAATGATTTCGGTCCTTGAGATTTTATTTTTCACATCATGTATACGATATTCTTTTACTTTGATTTATGCATATGCGATTGCTTTGTCTTTGAATATTGTTTGGCATGCTTGATGGTTCTAAAACTCTGAGATGGATGAGATGTGTTACCAACAAGTATTTGTCTTTGGTCCTAATAAAATAAGTTTTAAGTTTTAACTACTTAAGTAAAAAGCATCGAATTCAAGCTCATGTGAATAAAAGATAGAAAAGTCTTCACATGTAAAAAATTTAGATGAATTTACTTATATCTATTATACTACCTCATGTGTGTAATATAATAATTAGTTTGACTTTTAATTTAGTTTTTAATATAATATCTCAATCTATTTTGTCTCTCATATTTATTCAATCTTTGACAAAGTAATCCCTATAGTAGTTACACATGTTAAATGTTTCATCAAATGGTAATTCTAACTAATACACTTGATTAGTAAGGATATTTTAAGAAAAAAAATAATACCTATTTATTACAAATAATGAATCACTTTTCTTAATCAATTTAAACTAGTCAACCAACTATTATATTAAGTACCAGAGGTAGTATTCAATTATTTAATCAAATACTCTTATGTGTGATTTTTATTACTAATAATCATGCAACATAACTTTCAAATTTTGTCAATATAAATTATTACTATTGTTATTAAAAATTGGAATGATAAGATTTGATTGAAAAACTATACTTAATAGATATAAATAAATGGACCTAGATTTTGTTATATATTTGTGTGTGTGTATATATATATTACTACAGAGGTGCAAATATATTACTACCTCTCGTTTTTAAATACTATTCTTGTTTTTTAATATAAAAATTAGATAATTAATTTATAAATATTAAAAAATTAATTATTTATAATAAATTAACTAAATTAATTATTTATAATAAATATGTTGTTCTTTAAAAATATTTTTGTTAATCATATGCATTAGAGTATAAAGCATTTAATACGTACAACTACTTAAGAGACTATTTTAGAGAAAAAAAGAATAAATCTAAAAAGCAAAATATGTTATATTTAAAATCCAATTAAATTTTATATTTAAAATCCAATTAAATTTGTAACTACCTTTTATATTTAGAATAAGAGGTAAGTTGTCACCAAAAAAAAAAAGAGGTAATATAAGCTACCCTTTCTTATGTACAATAAAATGTGAAAGATGTCGGTGGTCGCTGGTCACTCTCGCTCAGAAGCGTTGGGAAAGGAATTATTTGTATTACTTGACATGAACGGCATCTATACAGTGCAATCATCTTTATGGTCTTCATGTCTCCAACCGCTGCTGATTTTTTTGACCTTTTCCCGCTGAGATTCACATCCTTCTTGACCTGTTGGTATTAGATGAGCCTCTTGCCGGTCGTACACTTAAAAAGTACATAGTACATTCTATTCTTAATATAAAATCTTATTTGATTTTTATTTTGATTTTAAATATAAGATCCTAATTCACTTTGTCTCTCATATTTATACATTTTTTTTCCAATGTAGTCCTTTTGACAATAATAGTTCTAACCAAATACACCTGATTAGTAAGAATATTTTACGAAAGACAACACCTATTCATTACAAATAACTGATTTAACTTCTTTCCTTAATCCCCTCAAATTAGTCAACTAGCTCTTATAATTAGGACTGGAGGTAGTAATATACTACCTCTGGTTTTATTTATAAGACATTGTTTATAGTCTACAAACGAGATTATATAATTAGTACCGGAGGTAGTATAATATTGCCTACACTTTTTAATATAAGATCTAGTTTATAGATTGTTTTGCCTGTTCAAAAATCTATTTTGAGATTGATTGTGAAGAGCTCTACAAAGCTATTATGAACAATTCGTTAGTTAGTATTGAATGCTAGGGTGCTTATGCAGTCGCAGACGTTCGTGGTATGCTGAAGACAAGACCTCAGGCTATGTTTACTCTTGATTCCAGACATGGTAACTGTGCTGCTGATTATTTAAGTGCTTCTGCAAAGACTGGGGTGGGTTCCAGTAAAATGCTAGTAATAAGACCATCTCATCTTCAAGGAACTTTAGATTCTGATGGTTGCAATACTAGGAAACATCATGTTTTTGTAAGAAGCAGCATTTCTGTTGTCCGTGCTGGCATATAGGTGAGCTTTTCCTTTTTCTTGCATTGTATCCTAACCAGCCTTAATTTTGCCGGTTGCTCCTTTATGGTTGCTTCTTTCATTAATAAATTTTCTGTTAAAAAAATATAAGTAAAAAAAAGAAGAATGAATTGATGTACTTCATTTTTTTTTGGTAAATCATATGTATTATTCTATTGGAAGCAGTACTATTCGAGGTATTGTCAAACACCCCTCCTAGTAGGATTCGAACTTTCGTTCGTCACATTATGAGGGATTAGCTCTTTTTACTAGATCTAATTCTTGTTGGTGATATACTTCATTTGAAATAGGCAAATCACATGATAAATTACGCGATCTCGGCCTTGGAGGATTCATAAATGGATATGAATGTGACAGTTCCTATGTTTTGTATTGTCCTGAAACTGCCCATGAAATATATTCGAAGCGCAATAAAGGCAGCGGCCAACTGAACAATTTATAGATTTCATATGGAAAATGTGATCTCAATTAATCGAAAGACAAAAAGCAATACTTTTTATTAAAAATAAAATTGTGTGCATTCAATATTGACATGCAAAAGGAAAATATTATAATGTTAAGAAGTATGTGGATGTGCATACATTTCTCAAGTCTTAAATTCTCATATCCTACGCCCTATTGCTTTGGTGAAAGGACTTTTAGAAATTTTCATTGGGGATTGCATATTGTGCACTCCTATTAATTAATTTTTTAATTTATTTTATGTAATTCTGGCATAAAATTGGAAAACTCTATGTAATTTCCTCGCGTAGCTCTGTTATTTTCATGACACAAGAAAAAGAGGAAATGGAAAGTAATAATGAGCTGAGAAAAACATATTCACAAGAGAAAAGAAAGCAAAAAGAAGGGGGAATCTGACGTGGAAAGCTCATATTACTGCACGTGTTGAACCCTCTTGTTTACAATGGTTTTGGCTCCAGGAAACCAGAACCCTCTGCTCTCACGTCCCAAAACGGCTTCCTTTCTCTGTTCAAAGTTGGTGAGACATACGCACCCTCCTCCCTCAGCTTGTGTTTCACAGAAAACTTAGAGAGAGACTCCTTTCCTACACAGACGTTGAATCCACCCAGCATGCACCTCTTAATTCTCCCTCCATATTACAATTTTACCCCCCCTTCCTTCTTTGATTCCCATGTTTTTATTCCTCTGCCTCGCTCACCTCTCTCTCCGCCTTTGAGCTCCTGTGTTCATGGCCGTCTCCGATGTCGACGCCGTCATCGAGTTCTTGAGGAAGAATGGATTCTCAGAGGCTGAGTCTGCCCTCAGACAGGACATCACTGAAAAAGGTGATCTGCGATCCTTTGACTACGAGAAATTCTTCTTCCCTATGGTGCCTCCGCCGCCGCCGGTCAGGGTCCGATCGTGTTGTCGGCCGTCCCTCACAGACTGCTCCTCGGAAGATGAGTTTGTGAGCTTGAGTTCTTCTACTTCTGATGTTTGCTCTTCGGGTACTCACTATGCTTTGTGTGCTTCCATTGATAAGATCTTTTTGTTCATGGCTTCTTTAAAGTTCTGATCTTTCAACATTCTGGTTTGATCCTCTGCGTCAGCTGAATGGTTCTTGTTCATCAGATTTCAAAAAGTAGTAAACTTGCCCCCTCTGTTGTTCATCGTGTTATAATTCATGGCTTTATATCGTCGTTGAGATTATAAGGAATAGAGTTTATAATAATCATTTAATGGCATTCTTTTTGGGCAAAATCTATTGCTATTTGGTTTGATTTAGTTTCTTTTTTCTTATTGAATCACTCATGCATTAGAGCATGATGAGAGCTTCTTGTTATTGCAGAATTCATCAATCCATATGGAATCCGTTCCGCGTCTCAGAATGATTCTGAATCTTCAGCTGATAGGCTATCCCAATTTGGAACTGCACGAGATCACCATGAATTCGATTTGCAAAACGAATCATATTGGTACAACGAGAAAGATGATGACAATTTCATGACTCCAAGCTATGAAGGGCCGGATTTTTTTAGCTCTCCAACTGAGGACAAGTTCATAACGACATCAGAAATGGACAATCAGCACGAGAATCCCCTGAATATTGGTTACATCTCCGAAGGATTTCAATCAGAGGAAAATGGTGACTGTATAGACAAGACATGCCTTCCCAATAATTTCTTTGGAGGGGATCGAAGTGATACTGTTACCTATTCTGAAGACCATCGTGGTGTGGATGAGAAAAATCAGCTCAAGGCAGGATTATTGGAAAAGGAAATTCATCTGAATGATTCTCACTCGAAGGTTGGTGGGAAATTTTCTGGCCATGGTTCTGCCCTGGAAAATAGTATGGATCAAACGTTTGACTTTTATACAAGCAATGATATTAGTAAAGGGAATAAAGATTCCTATGGCCTGACGATTGAAGTTGCTGGAATCAACAGCTTGGAAGCTCGAGATGATAGAGGATTAGCCGATGAATGTCATGAATCAGATGATGCTGCAGATATCACTGATGATGAACTGATAAAGTACATTCCTGAGGATGACTACGAAGTATTTGACTTGAGAATTATTCATAGGAAAAACAGGTTTGTTTCAGATAGGCTTGCATTCTCAACTTCCATTTCCATTAAATTGATTCCAAATGCTTGAATCAACCACCATTTTGATTGTTTCATTCATTTTCTGTTCATGTTGGTTTTATTCAGAACATCTACTTCTTTGGGGAATTTATATTATGATATCAGGTTTCGATTATTGTGATGATAGGGATAAGTATAAATAATGTTCCTTACACTTGTGTATTATGCCATGGTAATAGGACTGGATTTGAAGAAAGCAAGGATCTTCCGATTGTACTAAATACAGTTATTGCCGGCAGATACTACATAACAGCTTATCTTGGTTCAGCAGCCTTCAGTAAGGTTGTTCAGGCACATGATCTTCACATGGGAGTGGATGTTTGCTTGAAGATCATAAAAAATGACAAAGATTTCTTCGATCAAAGCCTAGATGAAATCAAGCTTCTTAAGCTTGTCAATAAGCATGACCCAGCTGATCGGTTCCACATACTGCGTCTTTATGACTACTTTTATAATCAGGTATGCATCAATGGAAGAATTTACAGCTGCAGAGTGAGAATTTGTTTGGTTTGAATTGTTAATCTTATATGAAAACTTCACAGGAACATCTATTCATTGTTACTGAGCTTCTGCGAGCAAACTTATATGAATTTCAGAAATTCAACCAAGAATCTGGCGGTGAAGCATATTTTACAATGAGCAGGTTGCAGGTTTGTTCCAAAAAGAATATGAACTTCTTCTTTAATTGATTATTTAGATAGACGATGTTTTCAAAACCTGATGATTATGGGGATGTACTGAACAGTTTTGTTCCTCTTTGCAGCACATTACTCATCAATGTTTGGAGGCGTTGCACTACTTGCATAGCTTAGGAATCATTCACTGTGACCTGAAACCAGAAAACATCCTGATAAAAAGTTACAAAAGATGTGAGATCAAGGTCATTGATCTGGGAAGCAGTTGCTTTCAAACGGACAACTTGTGTCTGTACGTGCAATCGCGATCCTACAGGGCTCCTGAAGTGATACTAGGGCTCCAGTACGATGAAAAAATTGATATATGGTCCCTCGGCTGCATCTTAGCCGAACTATGCTCTGGTGAAGTATGTTGTTGTAACTTTTCTTCCTTAGAAGTGTCAATGAAGTTTGTCTTCCTCGAGGTCTAACATTCACATGATGACATTTTGAGACCATGTTTTCTGCAGGTGCTCTTTCCAAACGACGCAGTTGTCATGATACTTGCACGTATGATTGGAATGCTTGGTCCTATTGATCTTGAGATGTTGGTCAAAGGACAGGAGGCTCACAAGTACTTCACCGAGGAATTTGATATTTATCATGTCAACGAGGTTTGATTCCCATTTCTTCTTTTTTGGATGTGCTCTATACAGTCACTTTTTTATGATTGTAAGGAATTTAGATTATGTACTTCTCGAGGAAGTCATACAAGTTTTCGGGATTATGAGCAGGAGACAGATCAAGTTGAGTATATAATTCCAGAGGAGTCATCGTTGGAGCAGCATTTGCAAGTTACGGATACTTTGTTCATAGACTTTGTAAGATGCTTGCTTAGCATAAACCCTAAAACAAGGCCTACTGCAACCCAGGCGTTGAGACATCCATGGCTTTCTTATGTTTACAAGTCCAAGGACAAGAATGTTCTCAGATTCTGATGGGGTTGTCTATATTTATATTTATCAGAGCTTGCAAAGGCTTGCAATCACAATTTTGGCTTTTTTGTTTTTATGCAACAGCAACCGAATCCTCTTTCTGCAGTTGCATACTTGTTCTTGTTGATATGAGCTGTGCTCTTTTGTACAGAAAATTGTATCTTTGGGGAACCCTTTCGATTTTCCTACCAATTTTCATTAATCTAAGTCATTTCGTTGCTTTTTATGATAAGAACACGTATCTGAGTTTGTGCAATGATCTGTACATCTCAAAACTATTCTTCCATTCTCTTTTATGAGACGCTGTTGATCACTATTCTGAGATTAGACTTCAAACTAGCTAAATATAAATTTTTAAAATTATTTTTAATCAGGTTAAATAAATGAGAATATTTTTGAAATATCAATCATGAATGTTTCATTAAATTTGGCAAAGATTGTGTTAAAAAGATCATGCTAGTAGAAACAGTTTTTTTTTTTAGTTACCCACCCAGTTTACCAGAGTTTTGCTCTGACTATATCTGGATTCGATCCGTGTCGCGTACAATAGAAACAGTTGATTTGCATATGAGGACATCTCGAGTGCAAGATGAATGCACATTTGGACTGTCCAAAGAGATTGGGCCAACATTATGGGCTGAAACGAATACTTATTGGTTTTGGACCTCTAAAATGTCCAATGACATTTGATATCCTGGTAAAAAATTATTGACCCTTTATTTAATACTTCAAATACATTTATTTCCAGGCCTTTTCTATTAGAGATTTACAACTATGGTCATGCCATATCAATGACTCTGTAAAAAAGTAATGGTAAATATGACATCCAAACGTTATTCTTCTTAATTTTTTTATGCGTTGCATGAAATCATGAAATTTAAGTATTGAGTTATAATGATTTTTTTTTTTGGGCCGGGGAGTTATGATTCTAATAATTTCTCTATAATTTTAGTATAGTTTTCACTGCATGTTGTCGATATCAATATTTTTAGCAAGAAAGATCAATATGAAGGGGGTGTTTAGGAAGTATGAAAAGTACTTTTTAAAAACACTTTTTCGTAAGGCGAGATAAACTCTTCTACATATTTATTTCGTATACCGTAAAAGCATTTTTAAAATTATGATTTTGATTCTATCCAAACATTCCTGAATTATGAAATCTACAACTTATTTCACTCATTCTCCAAGTGCTAAGTCATATATGAATAATTTTTTTAGAAAAATACAAAATTATAATAAGTGGCATTGGTAATGAGTTATTGATAGTAGAGCTTATTCTTTTAAACATTATATAATGTATGGAGAAAAGCATATGATTCATTATAACATGATAAATATATAAATTTTTAATAATTTCATAATAAATGCATTTTGTTACAGTTTTTCAATCAATACAAAGGAACTGAGAGCATCAAATATATTCTCTGGTTAAGTAAACGATGCTGTCTTTAATAACAATATTATTATCTTGTGAAAGAAAACCTTATCCCTTAAGAATTGAAATTTTTATTATTAAATTTAATATAATAAATAAATAATAAAGCAAAAAGATCAAGATGACCCAACTGGCCAATCCCTTTCTTGGCGGCTAACTAGTGGCTGTGCGTGAGTCCCTCCTTTTATTTAATAAAGACACTTCTTTTAACTCCTACCTCTGTCTCTTCTCATTGGCTCATTCTTTATCTTCTCGCTTTTCCCTTTCTTATTTTCTTTTTCCCCCACTTTCCACTTATTATAATCATATCTGGAGAAAATTACGTCCAAGACTCAAACTAACAAAAATCACATATAGGGATCCGAAAGCCTACAATTACTGAATGAACTAAACAATTATTTTTCAGATATTAACTTTTGAAAAAATTTCTAACAGATGTATGAAATTTAATGATAATTTTTAATCCTAAGATAATTACATTGTCTAGCATCAAGATTCAAAAATAAAAATGTTGGAAATTGTTTGTTTTTTCCATTATAGGTGTTCTCATTCTCAACTAAAATCAAATATTCCATGTTTGGACTCTGATATTTAATACTCTTTCGATTTTTAATATAGAACCTAATTATTAAATTAATTTTGATCTTAAATATAAGACTTATTTATCATATTTATTAATTTTTTCTAAATTATCTTTATAGATACTCCCTCAATTATAATCTAATAGAAGAGGAAAAGATCATATTAAAAAATATAACTATGGTATTTTAAAAAACAATTTATATTTTTTATAATTAATTAATTTATACAATTTCTTTAATCTAGTTAAATTAATTAAATACAGTTGTTTGTCAAAAATGGGTATTTAAATGTAATTTTTCCGTGATCCCCCCTCACCCTCGCTCACGGCACGTCCGTTACACTCGCTTCCTTTAAATCAGGCCATATCTCTGAAAAAAGGAAATTGATAATAGCGAATGCAAATCTCCCAGTTGACGCCGGGCGGTTAAAAAGACCCGTTAACGTCCTACGCACCACGGCACACGGCAGGCGTTGCCTCTTTGGGTGGACCTTAGGACTTTCAGGAGTGTCATGAGGAGGGAATTGGATTCAAATGGCTGAGTTGACTCAGGCCGAGGTTTACTCCCCGAGAACTCAGCAAGTATGGAGGGCACTCTTGTGTTGGCTTGCCTCCCTCTTCCAGATCTTCTTTCAGATTATTAGAGCCCTCGCTCACTACCCTTTACTCTCTTTTTCGTCGTCTTCATCTTCTTCCCCTTCCTTCAAGCCTTTACCCTCAGTTGAGCTCCAGGAGCAGTATGATTTGCCGTTGGATTCCGCCCTTGATATGCTGCAACTGATTATTCCGCCGCTGACGATCAACCCCTTCAAAAACTCACGGTACTGGTGTTTCGAAATTATGCTTAAATGATTAGGATTCTGTTGTGCTTCTGTCAAGGTCCATGATCATGACGGCTAGTGTTCAATTTGTGCTCTGAATATTTGAAATGGATATGCTAGTTGAAGTTTTTGAAGTTTTTATTTTTTGCTCTGCCAGGTGTAAGATAGCTTCATGACTTATCAGGGAAGTTTAGGCGACGGTCCGGTGTTATCCAAGTGTGATTTTTTTTTTTTTTCAAGTGAAAAATTGTCTTATGTCATGATAGTTGACTTAGATATGTTCATATCAACATGAATCGTGGAGAGGCAGGAAAATTAATAGTTGGAAGAAATTGAGTAGGTTTTGAGCTATATGCGAAGTGCTCAAAATCTGCGTGCAAGGAGAGCCAACCTTAGATTTAAATTGAATAGGGAAAAAATCCGGCTGGACCACTCAGATCAAAGGAAATTCCTTGGGACTGAGTATAACATTCAAATTGGGCAAATCGAGAACCGTTTTAATTTTGAACATTTTAGCATTGGCAGAGACTATGATGAATGACTATCTCATAGTTGATAAAAGCCCGTAAGCATTTTACATGGATACATCTGGTTTGGTAGCACAAATAGACCATTAGAATATAGTCACCATGCCTCTGACTTCCCCATTTCATGACTTTATAACTTCTATATTCTTTTGCCTTTGGTTGTACTATAGTTCAAACTGTGTTTAAAACACTTCTGATGCCACTCACATTGAGAGAAAGATTGGGCGTCTGTATGGTTTTCCCATCTGGTTTGCTATCGTTGCTTTGTTTTTGTGTTTTGTAATACAAATTTCTGCATGTCATGGTGTTGATTTCAAATGGACATCTATGCCATAAAATAAATTGGCAAGGTCCTTTTGACTTGTGCAATGGGGAAAGTAATAATTATACTACCTAGTTAAGGGTCTTCGAAGTATATGAAATACGGAAAATGAAACGTTAGATGTGGACTTGAAAATGCTTTCTCTTCTTTTGGGCGTATAGGGGGATGCTAATCAGAATTGGTAAAGACGTTTCTCTTTGTTTGGCTGTAATGCTTATGCTGCCCAGAGAATAGCTAATGCTAGGAAATACAAAGTATATCAACCATGAAGATAAAAGTTAATCATGTTATAGCTTCTCACAACTGGAGAGTATACCGATATTTTTTATTGTTTTTTACATCACACTGGCCTGCAGTGATGTCATAGTTCTCTTGTAAATTGTAGCAATTCATTTTGCATTCTTATGACATTATACTGTATATAATGTGTCGCGTGACAGTGTACCTTCTGTCATTGCTTCATCATATTTAATCATTAACTTTGTTCACTCTTTTGATGAGTACCAAAAAATTGAATTGGGTTCTATAAAACACAAGGCCTGCTAGTTGTTTCGATTCTATTTGTGGTTGGGTGAATTTTTTGGGGTAAATTTGTGATTTTGGAAAGAAGAATATGATTTGTGGTTGGTTAAGGAAAGAAGAAGGAGAGTCACTAAGTATATGTATTTGTTAATTATTACCTGTTAATGAGCTATCATAGTGCTGTATCTGGTATAATTTTTTATGAGCTATCATAATATCATATATGGTGTCATTCTGTGTTGTTTTCTTTTGTTCCTTCCTTAAACCACCACTTCCTGTGTTACCAGAAATTTCCTACTGTTAATGTGGATTCTGATCTTGCCCGTGAATTTGTAGGTAGTGCTAGACTTGGATGAAACACTTGTATGTGCATATGAGACGTCAAGTTTGCCAGCTGCAGTTCGTGCTCAAGCAACTGAAGCTGGTTTAAATTTGTTTGAGCTTGAATGTGTAACACCAGACAAGGTTTGTTCTTTGATAACTTGTATATAAGTCATTCTCTAGGGATCGAATATTATATCTTTACTTGTCCATGTTGGTTCTTAAAGGATGGAGAAGGAAAACCGAAAATCAATTACGTGACAGTATTTGAACGGCCCGGGTTGAAAGAATTCTTGAAGCAACTTAGTGGATTTGCTGACTTGGTGCTATTTACTGCTGGTCTTGAAGGTTGGCTTCACATCCTGGAGTTGTTCTGATGCCTGCTTAATTTTGTTTCTGTGAATTCTTTGCCGTGTCTCTAAATGAAAGGCATCCATAAATTCTCACAGGTTATGCAAGACCACTTGTTGACAAAATTGACATGGAAAACTGGTTTAGTCTGCGACTTTATCGGCCCTCAACAGTTAGCACGTAAGTGTTTTTCACATTTCTCATTCAGTATTTGGTATTCACTTGAGCATTCTCTCTTTCTAGCCCCTTCTTGCTTGTAACGAGGTATCGTTCTGGATCATTAATATATGAAATTTTAATTCGTTTACTCTTGTTGGACGTTTGTATGCTGCCTCATGCCCTCATATTCTATCTGTCTTCTTTACCACTTGAAGCGGAGATCATTAAATAGACAAATAATTGAAACCCAGTCCAGTAGTCCTGATTCTAAATGGAAATTTGTCATATTTGTATAAACAGCCTACTGGATTAAATTAGGAACAGCAGTAATATAATCATGCAGAAAAGATTCCCTTCGGTTATTTCCAACTTTGTTCATTACTTTCTGTTTGCAATGAACTGCATTAATGTTAAAGATCTTTATTTATTATTTTGAAAACCAGACTGCATTTGAGGATGATACACTTCCAGGTCAAATGTCTGTAATGCGGTGTGCTTGGTGTATGTTTTAGCTGCACGTTAAGGTTAACATCGAATTCTTCATTAAAACCTGATGAGTTAAAAGGAAAATTTTCCTAGTGAATTATGGTTTCTTGACTTTTTAATAATCGATTTAAATGCTAAAACTGTACTAGGAGAACATGCAATATGTGAATGTTACTTAAAGTTGTTTTAACATCTCTTGTGAAAAGACAAAACATTGTAAATTCATCTTTTAGGGCATCCAAACTATTTCCACTCTGGGTTTGACTCCTTGGTAAGTACTGGTCGCATTAAGATAAACATCTTGGTTTGAAGCCTCCAATTGTGTGGGTGTTTATTTATCATTTATCATATATTTGGTCGTCGTTTCTTAACACCCTCCTCAGCTAGCCTGGTGCTACCTGATGTTTAATATATAAAACTAAGCAATCAAGTAATCTGAAATCCTGTCTGGAAAATATTGCTGTCGAGATCTATGTTCCTGAGCTTTAGGTTTGGAACGAAGTGTTCCAGATTAACTGGTAAATCCAGCATCCAGCACTTATGAACAATTGATGCTTACAGGGAATATCGGGAACATGTCAAAGATCTATCCTGCATAACAAATGATCTATGCCGTGTTGTTATTGTTGACAACAATCCCTTCAGCTTCTTGTTACAGCCACTGAATGGAATTCCTTGCATTTCATTTTCTGCTGGCCACCCCTACGACACACAGGTGTACACACATACCTCCCTGTCTTATTCAGACTTAAGTCATCCCTTCAATTTTTATTGTTCTAATCCTCTCTCTCTTGTCTGCTTGTCTGTGTATTGATGTTTATCAGCTTCTGGATGTCATTCTTCCTCTTCTCAAGCATCTCTCTGAGCAAAAAGATGTGAGACCTGTCCTCTGCGAAAAGTTCCACATGCCTGAATGGTTTCAAAAGCAAGGCATTCCAGCTTCCTGTTGGACATCGTAGGACCATAGCTGTTTGCAATCATTTAAATTGCTTTTTTTTTTTTCCCCCCCCTTTGGATTACAGTTAACTGTGTTGCTCCAGAAGTGGCCTCACATTGGACGAACAGGTTTTGCGTATAGCATCAATTTATTTTTTGTGGGGTTCCACGGTTGTCTAATGCTGCTTCTTGAAGCTGAAACAGCTGGCCACGTACGTATTTAGGTTGCCAAGATTGTGTTTCCCATGTAACTTTGTTTATAGGCTTGCGATCTATTGGAATACATCTTGTAACTCTGTTGTATAATATTATCAGAAAAATATTTTCTTATTATCTCAGTTCTACCTTAGCCATTTCTGTTTTTATTTTAGCCTATTTTAAAGAGTTTGGTAATGTCACTATTGCATTCCACAGTCCAGTCTCAATGAAGAATCGAAGTCATGGTGAGCTTTTGTTTAACAGATAACACGACTGACTTGGACTGTGTGGTTTCTAATTCTATCCATAGTAGCCTCAATAAGCAGCATCCAACAGTCAGAAGCTTGAGTCAATACCAAGTGGAGGTAAACCAGATTGTTTTGAGTCTTGTTCCAAACAGTTTTTGAATTTCATGTTTGTTTCTCAAAGGGAAAGAAAAGAGTCGTTAGGATTATCATCAATCTTTTGGTTACTAGAAGCAAGACTAAAGGGCTGTTTGGAGAGCACTTAAATTTTTTTTATTTTTATATGAGTTGAAGTTGAAACAAAACTTTTTTTACATTCTGTTTCGTATACTGTAAAATATTTTAAAATCATAGTTTAGTTTTTGTTCAAATACCCTTTAAGTATCTTAAAGAAAAACAATAGAGAAGAAAAACCCATATTAGATCATCTTCTTTACTTTAACCCTTCTGAAAGAAATTTTGCCTCTTAAAAAAAATATCTTTTTATTATTTTTATTTTTAATTTTTGACTGAATATCTTTTTATTATTAAATTTAGTATGAACTTAATAAATAAGAAAATAAAAAATCCAGGGGACTCACCCTGTGTCCCTGTCACTGCTTTTCTTGGCACTGACAAGTACCGTACGCCAGTGCTGTTCTTATAGGCTCTTTCTTTTTCTTTTGCCAATCTTCACTTTTGCCTTTCTAACTAGTCATAATCACGTCGGATGAAAACTACATCCAACAATATACTCTTTCGATTCTTAATATAAAACTCATTTAACTAATTTGATTAGATTAAAAAAATTAGATGAATTAATTAATTATAAGAAATGTGACACGTTTTTTTTAAAATATCATAATAATCTTTCTTAATACCTCCTACTTAATTATGATTGAGGAAGTATCCATAGAGATAATTTAGAGAAAATTGATAAATATGAGAAATGGGTCTTATATTTAGGATCAAAACCAATTTAACAATTGAGTCGTATATTAAGGAAGGGAGGAGTACTTAAAATAACAAAATTCACACAAATAAATCTTAAGAATTGCTAAGTTACTAAAGAACCAGAATATACCAGCACCACAATTAATTTTGTGAAGAAAAAAAGACTAAATGAAATATTCTAAAATAGATTATTATTTTTAGCCATGGGGTAATGGCTTTACCCACCGTCAAGATACTTTAGAATTAACATATTATTAATTATAAAAAAGAATCCATGAATATAATAATATAAAGTTTGATGCTAACTACTGATTCTGCAATGATGCATACAGGAGAGGATGGCATTTCAAGATCATGTTTGGTAGATTGGGTAAATTTAATTATATTAAATAAAAGCATCCAGCTTGGACTGCCGCTAAAGGCATAGCCAATATCCACATATGGACCTTCACAATTGGAACTCAACCCTGCTTTTGCGGTTCACATTCTGTATCATTAATACACTTTCTCTATTACCCCGACGGGGGCAAAAAAAACTCTCTCTTATCACCAAAAAAAGCTTCTCTTATTATAAAGCGTGTGACATTAATTACAGTTCACTAAAATTGCCCTTAAAGTCTAGTACAATTATTTTTTTATATCTCTTATCCCTTGTTTATTTTAGCTAAGAGAGAGCATATGCGTTATGCTCCTCCTCCAATTCACAATACAGGTGTAGTATTTGTTAGGAGCTATTTTATGGTAAGTGCATTCACACGAGAGGAGACAACACTTTCCTTACATATGATTATCTTGTACTACATTTAATCTTATTTATAAGAACTAATTGATTAATTTGAGGAGATTAAAAAAGAAGTTAAGTTAGTTATTTATAATAAATAGGCATTGTCCTTCCTAAAATATCATTACTAACCAGTGTATTAATTAGAATTATTATTGTTAGAAGGACTATTTTAAAAAAAACATAAATATAAGAAGCAAAATGAATTGGGGTTTTATATTTAGAACCAAAATAAAAGTTAAACAAGGTCTTATATTAAGAATTGGAGGTAGTATCTTATAAATCACAATTAAAAAGTTATTTCTGAAAGTTATAATCATCGGTCTAAAAAAGCTCCTCCAATCATTATTCTAAATAAGCTCCTAATTTAACTATTCCGCAAAAACAAAAAAATCGTTGTTAATTAAATGGAAATTACATCATCAAAGATATAAAAAAAATTGTAATACCTTCTTAAACCATCCCTATCAAAAGTCAGGACTACATTAAATACAATGAACTAATTGTTGTAATGTTTAATTATATGGGAGAGTAAAACAAATATATTAAATATTTTAGACTAAAAGTAAAGTTAGGAGGAAACACACGGGGCATGTGTTATAAATTCGGATAATGCTCACATTTATTTGCGCTGTCAAGGTGTTTTTTTTTCCCCGACTTTCAAAAAGTAGTAATAGCTTTTTGCCCCGAGCGATAAAAAGAAGAGCTTTTTGCCCAGACTTTGAGATGCAAGCCTTTACTTAAATGTACCCTTGATATTTATGTGCCCTTGCACTTTTAACCTTTTTTGAAAAAAAAATAGAATAACCAATACAAGTTGGGTCTAGTGGAAGGAACTGACCCCTCACAACGTGACAAATCAAGATTCAAATTCTCACTGAGAGAGGCGTTCACGTTTAGTGCCTGATAGTGTCTCAAATAGAATTGTTTCTAATAAGAGGTTACCTATATTTTAGCTAAAAAAAAAAGATAGAATAAAGAAATAGTATTGGAGATAAAAAAAATGAACACGTGTTAACTTTTTTTTTTGGGGCTTCGGGAGAAAAGAAGTAACGCAAAGAGTATCCTTTTAGCACATTGGGGAGGGAATTTGTATCAGCAGTTCAATGCATAAAAACACAAGTTTTTAATAATTGGAGTTCTATAAATTTGTGAAATCGAATGTACATGAAGAACTGTTAAAAAAGAAATACTCCTCCAGTTTTTAATATAAGATCTATTTAACTAATTTGATTAGATTAAGAAAATTATGTAAATTAGTTAATTATAAAAAGTATGACATGTTTTTCTTAAAACACCATAATCATATTCCTTAACATTCTTTATCTTTTTTCTATTTGATTATAGTTGAAAGAGTATTTATAGGGTCAATTTAGAAAAAATTGATAAATATAAGAAATGTGCCTTCTATTAGGTCCTATATTAAGAACGAGAGGAGTATATAAATCCACATAATCTTTTTTTTTTTTTTGAGGGAAAGGAGTGGGGTTACAATTAGCTACGTACAACGGAATCCACATAGATCCATTGTATTACATAGAAAAGCATCTTCATCTTTCAATGTTTAATGTATAGAAATTTAAAACATATATAAGGGACTCTTGTTTAGAAAAGAAAATGACAATTTGACATTTTTTTAAAATTTTTGGATGCAGTCATTGCTGTGCATGTGTATAACAGCACAAGTATGTTTTGCCCCACAAAAATTCAAAATGAGCTAGATCTTGAAAACTTTATCAAAGTCAGATCAGGTTCCATAGCTTAGAAAGCATGTACAAATGATTTATTGATAACATTTTTTATCCTAATGACAATGTAGTCATACTTTGAAAAGGTTTAAAATTTAAATCTAATGACATATTTTTGTAAATATATTTCATTTGATTGTACGAGAAAAAAACTAATTGGAATATAACAACAAATATATATATAGAGAGAGAGATCCAGATAGCTTGGAATGGATGCATCCATTGGACATATAACTTTGGCACCACAATAAACAAATGCAAATTTAAATACTAATAGTCTGATTACGTACAATACGAAATTTAATATCTAATAGTGTCTCAAATAAAATTATCTTTAATAAAAGAATAACAATATGTAGTAGGAAAAAAAAAACATATTATTTGTAAGTCCCTATATATATTATAAGTACGTGTGTGTATGTATACAATATTAACATGTCGGTAAAAGTTGTTTGTCTTCTTTGTAATATTTAATGAAGTAATGATGATGTATCCTTCAAATTGTGTTAACACTGTTCTGTTCTTTTGAAGCACATATGATTATGTACACTACCAAGTTCTCCACCTTGGAAGCTAATTAATTCGTAGTTCAATTCCCCGTTTTTTGGGCTTTCTCATGTTTTTTTAATCATTATTTATACAATCATTATATCACCCATAGAGAGTTCAAACTCAGATAACCTCCCATTTAAAAAATATTTAACATTGGTGTTTGGCATTATTTAAGTTATAAGATTCTTGCACCTTGTATTTCTAAATCGGAAGATAGAGCCCAAAAATTAGTGAAAATTAACGCATTAAATATGATGTTGAGGAAAATGAGTAACAGATGAGAAAGAAATTAAGGGAGTGTTTGGATAAAAACAAAACCATGGTTTTAGAAGTGTTTTTACGGATTACGAAGTAAATATGTAGAGGAGGTTACCTCGTTTTGCGGAAAAGTACTTCTGAAACCACGGTTTTGGAGCACCCAAACAGATCCTAAGAGAGAAAGACAATAAGATTTTTTTTTTGGCCATAAAGACAACAAGCAAATTAAAACTCAACAAAGTAAATTAAATGAATATATGTATTTTATTGAGTCAAATGAATATAAAATTTTAACCTTATGGTAGGCTGTAGAGTGGTTCAGAACCTCTCTCTTCTCTTTTCATCCTCTTCCTTTTTCTTATTTTTCTAACCATTGAATTAAAATTTTAACAGTTGAGATTTAAATATTTCTAAAACTATTATTAAAATATTAAATTATAAGAATAAATAAATAATAAATTACAAACTCCATTAAAATTTAATTCTAATAGCTTGCAAATTCATTAAAAAAATTTTTAAATGTTTATAAATAATTTATAAAAGTTAAAATCTTAACCATTAAAATATGTTAATCTAATTGTTAGAAAAGAAAGAGAAAAAAGAAGATGAGAGCTTCCGAACCG